GTGCCTAATGATGATAAGTTTTCATCAATTTAGTTCATCTAGAATTTTTTCATAGTAAAGTTCTTATAGAAAATTTTATTTCTTTCGTGAAAATATAGAAGCTCAGTTTTCAGATTCATTAATCTGTTATTCTTGTTTTTCATTAATGTTGTAGGTGATGATGGCTTTAAAGTTTTGGATTCCAAATGATCACAATTGACAAAAATAGAGAATCAGGAATTTGTTAAGAAACAGAGAGGTGAAGAATTCTATTGTTAAGAAACGATTTCAGCAAGCTCGGGACTAATTTTTATTTCCTTCATAGGCCACTCCCTTCTCAAATTGGAGGTCAAGAACGCTTGGCTGTCGGTGGAGGGCTTGAAATCAATGCCGGTGCTCACAAGTTTAACACTAGAATTTATAAGACTGGATGATGAAGACCTAGACAAGGTGAATGAGTGCTTCCCCTCACTGCAAGTTCTTAATTTGATCGGCGTTGGAGGGCTTAGAAACCCTAGAGTTCATCTGCTGCAGCTCAAAAAAATTTTCTTGCAAAACAAACACTAGAAAGTGGATTTTCTCACAAAAATTTTCTCAGCAAACAAACACATTATAAATAACTGAGAAAATAAATTTTCCTTTTCTCATCCCAACATTTCTCATCCCATCCTTTCTCAGTCCAATTTTCTCAGCAATCAAACAGACCCTAAAGGAAAATTTGGTTAGTAAATGTTTGCAATAGAAATAAAAAAGAAAGAAATGCCATTAAAATGCATTTGTGGAGATGGCCCTATATATAACAAATGATGTAATACAAATCTGAAAAAAAAATATCACCTGCACGCCTTTCACTTGCATTTGTTGTATAAGTTCACTAAACACACCTAGAATTCAAGCCAGGATAGTGTTAGCAACAAGAAACATAGTACTTAAATGCAAACTTGATAGGAGGTGAAAACAAATATAATCTTTGGGTCATGGTTGGAAAATTCAAACTTCACTTGTTATAGTCACCATATCTAATCATATTTAGGCATATCCTAGTTAAAGATTTGAATAGATTGGCAAGGCTTAAAAATTTTCCAGAATTTGGCTTCAAGTCGATCCAAGTTTCATTTTAACTTGGTAAATTAGCAAGTTTGCAATATAGGATTGAGTCAGAGAAAGGGTAAATTTGGTAGTTAGATAGCTTTACTTCCATCTGCATCTTTGATTGGATGATAAGTTGACTACTTTTTTTTGATAAATAACAGATTTTATTAATAAAAAGAGTAAAAGAGGAAGATACAACAGGAGGGAGAGGTAAAATCTCTTAATACTCCCTAAAAGTAGACTTCAGATTACAACATTTCCCAAAAAAGATTAGCTCTTCCCACCCCTTGTTTGGCCAAAGAGTCTGCCAAAGAATTGGCACTCCTCTTAATCCACTGAAACTGAATTTCCATGTTTTGAGGCAACTGTTTAATTTTCTTCTTCTCATTTAAGTATTTCTACAAACTGAAATCTTCCTTCTGCAGCCAACTAATAACCAGCCTAGAGTAACTCATTTGCAGTTTGCGGATAACTTGATGATCTTTTGTGGTGGTGGTTTGAGTGAGAAGGTGGGAAACTTGAAAGAATTGATTAAAGCCTTTGAAGGAGTGTTCAATTTGAAAATCAATTTAGAAAAGAGCTGCATTGCTGGAGTCAATCTAGACTTTGAGGAGGTTGAGGCTATTGCAGATTGTCTTCAGTGCTCCATTTCTACTTGGCCTTTGTCCTATTTAGGGCTGTTGTTAGGAGCAAACCCTAGGGAGAGTAGGTTCTGGACCCCAGTTATAGAGAAGTTTGAAAAGAGATTAGCTGTGTGGAGGAAAAATTACATCTCTTTGGGTGGGATGATCACCTTGATAAGAGCTACCCTTGCAGACCTACCTACTTACTACCTCTCTGTCTTTAGGATACCATCTGGGGAAATGGAGAAATTGGAAAAATTAATGAGAGATTTTCTTTGGGAACCGGGAGAAGGTAAAAAAGACCACTTAATCAGTTGGGAGGCTGTGGGTAAAAAGCAAAGAGGAAGGAGGATTAGGGCATGGGAATGTGCTTAAGAAGAATTCAGCCTTGTTAGGGAAGTGGTTGTGGAGGTGGCCTATGGAGCGAGATAGGTTGTGGCATGAAGTGGTGAAGAGTATTCATGGATGCTCAGAGAGTGGATGGGACCTTGGTGCTTCAAGGAGGGCTAACCTAGCAACACCTTGAAAAGCAATTCACAAAATTCTTCCGCAGTTCCTAAGTTGTATAAGGTATGATGCTTGTTCTGGTAACTCTATTCAGTTTTGGGAGGACATTTGGGCGGGAAATCTTCCCCTAAAAGACCTTTTTCCATCCTTGTACTCTATTTCTTTGTATAAAAAAGAGGTGATTTCAAAATTCCTTCAATTTTAAATTTGTCGTCTTTGTCTTGGGACTTTGGTTTCCATAGAGGGTTAAGGGAGGATGAAATTGATTGTTTGTCTACTCTTCTTGGTCTCCTCGATAAGGATTGGTTGGATCCTTTGAAGCCTGATAAGAGGATTCGAGCCAATCACCCTAATGGGTCCTTTTCTTGTGGTTCCTGTTTTAATTTCCTGTGCCAAACCTCCTCTCAACAAAGTTTCCCTTCTAAAGAAATCTAGTGTAGACCAGTTCCCCCCAAGGTTACAGCTTTGTGTTGGGAAGTGTGGCATGGTAAAGTAAGCACGATGGATAACCTACAAAAGAGAAGACCCTTCCTATGTATTTCTCCAAACGGGTGCACTCTTTGCAGATCTCATGGTGAGGACTGTTATCACTTATTTTTATCTTATAGTGTCACTGCAGAGCTCTGGGTTTGGCTTCTATCAYTGTTTGGGTGTAGATGGGATATGCCAACAGAAGTAAGTACAATCTTTAACCCTTCTATGTTTTATTGGCCCCATAAAAGAGGAAGGAAAATGTGGAGATGTGCACGAGCAGCCTTGTTATGGACAGTTTGGGAAGAAAGGAATGCCAGGATCTTCCAGGAAAAGGGGAGAAGCAGTCAGGCCTTGAAGGACTGCATTTTGTATAGGGCAATACATTGGTTAAAGACTTTGGATTTGTTTGATCATTTCTCCTTTATTGATTGTTGGAGGGATTGGTTATCGGTAGCAAGTTGTTCCTCCTCAAAGATAAAGGTAATGACAAGCTGGGTCCCCCCTCCTCACGGTTCTTTGAAGCTGAATTTTGATGGAAGTAGCCAGGGCAACCCAGGTTCCTCTGGTTTGGGAGGTGTATTGAGAAATGAGGCTGGAGAGGCTGTCTTACTTTACTCTAGCCCTTTAGGTGTTGGTAACTCTATTCGGGTAGAGCTGTTAGCTGCAATACAAGGAATAATTCTTGCAAAAGAAATGGGTGTGGAGCAGCTTCTGGTTGAAGGGGACTCTAAGACAGTGGTGAACTGGTTAAATAATCCGGAGAATGTCACGTGGGACTACAAGAATGAGATAAAAAAATTCAAATGGCTGACAAGGAATATGTCTATAACAGTACAGTGGGTTGGGAGATCAGCCAATGCATTTGCTGATGTCTTGACAAAACAAGGGACAAACAGGGAAACATTGTTCTGGGCACAACTGTAATTTGTGTCTTTTATAACAGTCATGCACTTTTTGATGTAGATTTTGTGTTTTCTATATGGAGAAGCAGCACCTCGCACCTCTCTAAGGGGATTTTCATGCAACCAATTTTTGAATTAATGGAATATGACTCTTTACTTATCAAAATAATAATAATAATAATAACCAGCCTAGAGTCACCTTCCACCAACAGTTTTCTGATATTCAGCTGCTGGGCTCTTTCAATCCCTTCCAAGACTGCCAATATTTCAGCCCTCACAGAACCCCCCCCCCCCAATCAGTAGGACCCGAATACATGGCAATAATTCAACCTTCTTCATCATCAAAGTTCAATTTAGCGAACCCCATAGTTGGAGGAGACCACTGGAATAGGGGCAGTTTTCAAAGGAGCTGACCAAGTCACTTCTTTCCAGTTCTTGATGATATATCCTGCTGAATAATTGATAAGTTGACTACTTTAACTCGTAAAAAAATCCCCAGCACCCATCAAGAAACACAAATTTCAGAGGAATAAACCCTAAAGGCTCCTCACCAATCTCAATTGTCATTCTTGTATATCTACATGCCCAAACAAACCCACTACCAGTCTAGGACTTTGGGTTCTGAAGAGGTCTAAGGGATGAGGAAATTGCGAGTCTAACTGGCCTATTGAATTCTCTTGAAAAAGTGTGCTTGGATCCCATGGAACCAAATAAAAGGTTTTGGACTCTTTTGCCCTCAGGGAATTTTTCTTGTGCTTCTTTTTTCAAGGCCCTGTGTCGTCCTCTATATTCTCTTTCTTTCCCTTTTAAGGAGGTTTGGTGTAAGCATGTCCCCCCTAAGATCTTGGCTTTTTGTTGGGAAGTGTTTCATGGGAAAGTAAATACTTTGGATAATCTACAAAGGAGAAGGCCCTCTCTCTACCTCTCACCCAATTGGTGTACTCTTTCCAAATCCTTTGGTGAGAACTGCAACCATTTACTAATTCCCTGTACTGTTACAACAGATTTGTGGGATTGGCCCTTCTTGATTTTTTGGATGCAGGTGGAATAGGCCAGCAGATGTAAGCAGGTTTTTTGACCCTTCTACCTTTGTTTGGCACCATCAAAGAGGAAGAATAATGTGGAGGGTTGCAAGAGCAGCTTTGCTTTGGACAGTGTAGGAAGAAAGGAATGCCAGAATATTCCAAGAGAAGGTGCGAAGCCAACAAGACCTAGAGGAATGTATCCTATACAAGGCTATAGTGTGGTTAAAATCTCTGGATTTATTTCAGCAGTTCTCTTTTAATGACCTGTGGAAGCATTGAGTAGAAGTGGCAAGCAGTTCCTCTCTGAAGATAAATTGCACATGAGCTGGGTACCCCCCACCTGAAGGATTCATGAAGATAAATTTTGATGGTACTAGTCTGGGCAATCAAGGTCTTTCTGGGATGGGAGGGGTTATAAGGAATGTAAGTGGTTCTGTAACTTTTCTGTTAGCCAAGCAAGGGGCAAATAGGGAAAATCTGTATTGGGCTCAATTGTAATCCTTTTTAATTCTTGATGGGTTGGAGAGGTTGCAGCTCGTACCTCTCCAAGTGTATTCTATATCAGTGGTTTGTCCTATTAATAAATTCTTCATTTATCAAAAAAAACAAACAAATCCACTACCAAAAACAATTAAAAAAAAATTCTGATTCTAGTACTATTCTCTCAATAATTAGATTCCTAATTTAGTTGAAGCCTCAAGGATTCCGGAAGATAACTATCCATTTTCTATAAGGGATGAGGTTAGCTGAAGAACATAATTATAGAAATATAGAAGTGGAAGGGGATTCAGAAGTGGTGATAAAATGGCTAAAAAACCGGTTCTTATTCTTTTGACTCTTTAAATTGGAGGGGTGGGCTCCCTGGTTGCCAAAGGGAATTATTGAGCAGTGACCAACAATTAAGGGGGGAAAGAAAGGAAAGATTATGTGGAGTTGCATTTCCTTTGCAGTTTGTTGGGAGGTGTGGAAAGAGAAATAAAAGAATTTTTAATGATAAAAAGATGAGTAAGGAGAGGTTGTGTTCTGCCAATAGGATCAAGACTGTTGGACTGGATGTTAATACTTCCAGATTCTGAGAATTCCAAAAGAAAAGGTTTTGGTTCTGATTTTTGGAACACTTTGAGTTTTAGCTAATTGTATCAAGAGAAGCTATTCCGCTTCTTTTTTTTTGTAGTTGTCAGTGATGCCTTGTCACCCAGCCCTTTTGTATCCATTTCCTTCATTACTGAATTTTCTTTTTTTACTGTTTTCAAAAAAATTA